CCCTACCCCCATGATCCTCGCGGATGGAGTGCCCTTTGCCACGCCCACTCACCCAACAGCCCAGCAAGGGCCTGAACTTATGCCGGCAATGTAATTAACACACAAAAATTGAAATCTGTTGGCTCACACACAGACAAACACACACGGCGCCAGGACACGATGGCTTCATTGGGGTCTAGGAATGTCTGCAGATGGCTGAGAGTGTGTGTGCATATGTAAGTGTGTGGTGGCATGTGTTGGTATTGGTGTTTACGTACACGAAGTCGCAACAACATCCTTTTTTGTGTTTTCGTAATTAAAAATCAGCTGCAGGATATTTTTCGCCCAGATTCTCGGCAACGAAATTACAGCCTCAATGTGTCTGAGTTGGTTTTCGCAAGTACATGTGAATACGTAGCATATAAACATCCATTTTCCCAGCTACTTGTAATACAAGCGAACACCCACTCGACATTTAAAGATTGAATACCACTCGATTAAAATGTATTTAAATTAAGGCATCTGGACAAAAAATTCAATGTTTATTATTTGAATGTATTTTTGTTATTTTTTATACACATACCAAAAGGTAAAATGTAGTATCGCCTATTTAATATATTTTAACTTTATTTTAAATAATATTTCTTTATTGCATTTTTTCATAAATTAAACAAAAATATTTCTGGCATTCAACCAACATCTGAAATATCAGAAATAATTAAATCCATGCACTCGCAGATAAAGTATTCGCAGGATAATGTGCATGAGCATATGATGTACATTCCATCTTTCCGCTTTCATCTTTCCCACTACTTACCACGGCCATCGCTCCTCCATCGTCCATTCATGGCCATGAATCGTCAGCTTATTGTAATGAAGAAGCTTAAAATAATTAACCGGCGAGACTCTGTTTTGCAGAGAGATAAAAGAATTGCAAAAGCGTTTAACCGGCACAACAAATATGCCTTCATACTCGTATGATTTAAACAAATAGTCTGGCAACCGGCTACAAGCCGTGTCCATTTAGGCCGGGAGTTAACATTAAAGCCAAACCATGAACAAATATGTTTCACACAACCATTTCAGGTCTGGTGCGTTCGACGCCCAATAACCATGCCCTTGTCCAGAGACCCAGCCCAAAATCGTAATTTATTTCCCGATCATTTATTTTATATTAATTAAATATGCGGTTTTAATATATACATTTAAATCACCCAACACATTCATATATTTATATTCATGTGTGAGTATTATTTGAGTGCGGGTAGCGAAAAAAATCTGTTTTTAAGCTGCAGTCCAAACAAATGGAAAGAAAACATTGAGGGATTTCCCCTGATATAATATTTTTTTTTTGGATTGTATGTTTCTTTGTGTCCTGACCGCAGTGAAAACAGAAAATGCAATGGAACGGAATGAAATGCTTTGACAAGCATCTGTTGTGGGCGGTTTTCTGTTGCTGCTGGGTTGGGGGGTTGTGTTTTTGACAAATTGACTTTGCCAGCCATAATAATAATAATAATAATATTAATAATAAAAGCAACAACAGGGAACCCCGAAAAAACATCGGCAACAAGAACCATTTTCAAGTACCTACTATATTCATATTGATTTCAAACGAAACTTGAAATGCAAATGACAGATTTATTTTTCATGCTGTCGTTCTGCTGCTGTCAATCAAATTGTCGAAGGTGTTGATTGATGTCTAGACGTGGGCATCCATGTAGACCAGTTGTTGAAGTGGCAGAGTGAGATGGAGTTAGGCATTAAGAACATTTCAAATATTTTTGACAGCTTCGAATTTTAAATTTCATCGACACCCACAGTGGTAGGAATTCGATTTTGAATCATATTTTTCTGGCTTACATATTATGGAGTCCTAAAGATGAAATAGCCCGTAGTTGATAAGCTCTAAAATCTTATTTTTAAGCCACTGTACATCTTAGGTAGAAATCGCTTGAGTGAGTTTTTCTTACCGCTGCAAGCCCAAGTGATGGGATATAAAAGAAGCTACTGAGCCAGCCATTCAAGCGAGCATTAGACACGCTTAGAAATGCAATGGAGCATGTGCAGCTTCCATGCTGAAAGAGATTACCCAGCCCGAAAACTGGAAAAAAAACTCCCTCCACCACCACTAGCATGTTTTGTTATGAATGGTGCCCTGAAAAATGTTGGAAAATGAAAAAAAGTACCCATAAAAATTGCTATTAAAATCTTAGCCTACATTTCATTGTTATGCTTAAACAAAAACTGTGTTCGCAGGTGCTAAATTTGCAAGCGTGAGCTTTACCTTTGTTTGGGTCTGTCGAGTATAGTAATTTGTTTCCATGTTTATTCATGAAAGCATCGCAGAAGCAGTAGACAACGTGTAGACGAAAAATAAATACTGGCGCGCATTCACAGACCAAAAAAAAATAACTCTGGCACACGCACTTGAACAATGCGAAATTCTTGAAAAACGCCGAGTTAGAAGCTGGAGCACACCCTTCATTTTTTTGCCCCTCGCGTTGACACTCACGGTTTAAATAATTCAGCACTGTGGCCCAAGCTCCACAAGTGCAGCTATGGTCAGAAAATTAGCAAACCTAAAGGAATTTAGACCTAAAAGTGAGTTTAAAAAAAGGGATAAAAAAATCTAAAAACTCAATACCCAACCTAATTGTATATTTTAAATCTAAATCACAATTTTAAAAGTGACCAAGACTTATGGGATATTATTTTAACCACAAGTGTACACAACCAGCAGCAAAATTGAAAGCTTAAACGGCCGGGTAGAGCTTGACATCTCTGGCAGCCCTCAAAAGCGGGCAACAAAAAACAGGACGGAAGCCAGGATACCACCACGGAATAGAGCAGTGGCAAAGTGCTTTAAATGGGTTGCAGGATTTTGGGAACACATGGCGTAGAAAGGAGGGAACGGTACTCCGAGGGTCCTTCGCTCATTGGCTTTCGTCGAGGGGTTATCCTTTTGGCTTAACCCCATAAGGCCACAAAAGATGTTTAGCTTTATTTATGTGTCGAAAATGGTAAAGTGGAAATGGAATTAAGTGGGCGGGGGCTTAGAGTGCTCATGGATTATGCACTAGGGGAATAAAGTCCGTTTTTGATTTAAGACGTACATTTTCTATCTTCTCCACCATACAAATCCTTGAAAGCGATTTTAAAATAGTTACTTTAAGAATTTTGAATTATAAAAATTATAGAAATTCTGTAAATAACTCCAAATTTATTTCCGAGACTAGCCACTCAATTTTCTTATTAGAACGCCATTCCTTTAAGCGGCCACAGGCGATCCCGACCTGCCACTCTCCTCACCTGCTCATTCAATTTCAACTTTTTCCACTTTTGATGCAGTTACTTGGCACAAAACTTACAAAAAGCAGTGAAGCACCAAACTCCGCTCTACATACAAAATTCAATTAAAAACTTCAGCTTTCGGTACCGCACTGGGGAAAAGTGAAAAATGCGGGCGGTGGGGATTGAGAAAAAAAATCATAGAAGTATTTTTGATTTTGTTCGCATATTTTTGTTATTGGCAGAAATTCTATACAAGCTGATAGCTATGCAAAAGCCACCCGCACCTCCAGTCTCTTCAGGAGGGGGATTAGCGCCTCCCTCCAGGTGGGTGAACGGGCTTTAGTTCCTCGAAAAGGAACAGAAGCTCTGGGCATGGTATCCCTGGCCGACTCGCACAAACGGAATAATCCAATATACATATTGTATTGTGCGATAATACGCCTCACCAGAGGAGAGTGTTCACAGAGCGAAAATATCTTGTTAAAGTTAAGGTATTAAACATCAAGGAAAAAGCTTAAATTTTTTTTAAATAAACACGATATGTTGCATACCAAAATTATCTTCAAAATGTCTATAGAATTTCTGATACAAAAAATATATCATTTTTTTAAGGTGCACGATTCAAAACCGGAACTGAAATCTGAAACTCAGTCCGTGGCCATAGACATTTTCCACATTGGAGTTTCTTTCTTTATTTTTCCACTTTCCCCCCACCTTGTGCTTTGTTTAACAATGCTTTCCAGATCCCGCTCGGTTCTTCTCTTTCTGAATAGAGTATGTACGTCCGTTTAAATTTTTTGCAATTTTTAGGCAGTTTTATGCTTGGCAAAGTCAACAACTGTCGAACAAATTCAATGGGAAATCATTTCAATTTCCCGAAAATTTGCATATCTATGTATGAATGTGTACCTCTGTCTGTTGGTTTGTTTCACTCTGTTTATTTGCTTCGATGTTGGGTATGTATCAATCCCCCTTCCAGAACAAATGGAGGTTTTCTGGCTAAGCCAAAACCCGTCAAAGATTTCATTGAGGTAAAGCTTTAATGAAGCCTCAAATTACTTGTCTATGCCATACGGAGGGTTTCATTCAATTCGAGCGAATAACAAATAAATTTTCCACTGCTGAATAAGTAAACAGAAAATTTGCTTCACGGAGTTCCTGAGCCGGCAATAAATTATTCGCCAGATAAAAGTAATTCGAGAAGAATAATTGAAATGGTAATTGTCGCAAACGATGGAGTGGACTCCAACTGGGTTGCCTCATCGACTTTAGACTCAATTGTGGCACATTGATTTCGAGCAGATGGTGTGTGTCTCATTCGGTTTGTCGGCGTCTGTTCCTTTATTTTTTTGCCAACTCTGCATACGACAAATAAAAGATAATGCTGATTGTAAGTGCTGGGCGGATCCGCTGTGGTCCATAACTGGTCGTGTGACCGGGCAACTGTCCAGAAAGGGAACGGGCCAACAAAAAACAACGTCCACTGGCGCTAATGTCACCGTCTGGGCCTTTTTGGCAACTCCAGCTGTTTGGCGACCCCTTCGCCATTCCCAGTCTACCAATTGGCAATCGTACGTGATTTCTGTTTATTTTTATGTGACACAATGCAAAGTAAGTGCACTTGAGTTGGACTTGCTTCGTGGGACTGGACTGAAGTGGAGTAGACTGGACGGGGGCATGTGCATAAAAATCAGTGAGCTTTAAAATTAACGATGCATTTCGCTCAATTACGGCAGTATAAACAACTTCATCGGCCGCTCTGCTTCCGATTCAGTATCCGGATCCGGTTCCGCCGCGTGGTCCCTCTTGGAATGCCTTTGGATGTGGGTCCTCTCTTGGATGTGACTGAGCTCCGCTTTGATTTCCGCCCGGCATGCCTGCCATAATTGTTTGGCTAGAAAAAACAACAGCTCGCAGATCCCAATCAGCGAGAAGCCAGCTATTATGCCGCAGATGTTGCCAATTGTACCTGGCAGAAGGATAATGGTGGGTGAGATATGCAGAATCGTACAAGTAATTCCCAATCCCTTCCTCCCCGAAAGGCAGACATCTGCATACTCACTGAAGGTCTCGTACCAGGCACTCTTAATAATCTGGCGAAAGTATTGAATGTGCGTTTCGGCAAAATAAATACGAACAACGGCCAACTCGGCGGGGGAGGATGAGCCGTTGCTATAGCCCTTGCCATATCCAGTGCCAGTGCCCGGGCCCAAGCCGGAGCCGGAACCGTAACTGTTATTGGCACGCGGTCCGGGACTGCTACGCCTGCAAAATGAAAATCTTTTACGGTTGTAAGGAGTCAGGGAATCCGCTACAGTGATGCTAAAAAAAGGTCCTCAAATGGCTAGATTTTGCTTAAAAAATTACTCGGAGATCCTCTAAAGTATTGGACATTTTGAAATGTATAAAATTTTATATAATTATTTTAAATTTCGTATACAAATAGCTAAACTGACTGCACTAAAACAGCCCCACATTAATGGGGTAGGGCTATCCACTGACTCCATATGGAAATTGAAAAGAAAATAGGGTACGGTTGGGGGAAATCGAAGACTCGCAAGAGTCGCAATTTCCACCGCAGTGAATCCGCTTTTTCAACTGGACTTACGACGGACTCTTGGCCAGAGTGTGAGTGGGTAGGCCCAGGGTCATGGCACCCCTTACACTGTACCGGGTCTCTGTGCAGGAAGGCAGGCACAAAGGACAGAAGAGGGCGTCCTGCAACTCGTGCTCCAGACCCGTCACATTCTCGCGACTGGTGATGACGTTGAGCCACTTGACTGGACCGGGGAAAAGTAGACGTTTATTTCAATGAATTTGCGATTAACTCCTCGGGAAACTCACATTCGTAACGCTTCAGACAAGCCATGTGCTGCAGAGTGCAGTAGATGCGCTTCTCGTTCCCATCGATGTAGCGATGTGGCAGGCTGAAAGGGACGCACTCGCACAAACTGACGACACTTTGGGCCCGACAGGCGGAGATGCACTTACTGAAGGTGTAGTGTCGGGCAAACACCCAAGGCATTTCGTTCTCAAACAGGCATTTTCGCTAAATTGAATAATTGCATAAATTACTTCCATAAATTTGATTTAAATTGTATAATTAAACGGTCCCACCACTGACTGGCTCATTCGGCGAGCCTCGGGAAGAGTCTCAAATATTTTAGCTCTTACGGGCAGCAAGGTGTTGAAGCCAACCTCGGCGATTCGTTCGGCCACGCCACCAGAAAAGGGATCCGGGTAGGCGTGGGGTTCATAAATCGAAATCTAAAGTATTGAATTAAACAAAATATCAGTTGAATTAATCAATAACACATATACATATACATAAACGATTTTGACAATCGTTTCAGGTATTCCCCTTAAGAATCTGATCATTATTTGCAAAGATATAGCCATCGCTCCCCATTGTCCCCCCCAGGCATTTTCCACATTTTGAGGGGGACCCCTGGAAATTTTGACAAAAAATCTAAAAATAATTTCGATCTAGGATTTTGATGCAGATTGATCAAGAATCGATCTACAAATCGTTTAAGGTATTCCCCTTAAGAATCGGATGATTATTGGCTAAGATACAGCCATCGCCGTGGGCCAAATTATTGTCCCCAGGCATTTTCCAAATTTTGAAGGGGACCCCTGGAAATTTTGACAAAAAATCTAAAAATAATTTCGATCTAGGATTTTGATGCAGATTGATCAAGAATCGATCTACAAATCGTTTAAGGTATTCCCCTTAAGAATCGGATGATTATTGGCTAAGATACAGCCATCGCCGTGGGCCAAATTGTTGTCCCCAGGCATTTTCCAAATTTTGAAGGGGACCCCCTGGAAATTTTGACAAAAAATCTAAAAATAATTTCGATCCAGGATTTTAATGCAGATTGATCAAAAATCGATCTACAAACCGTTTAAGGTATTCCTCTCAAGAATCGGATGAATAATGGCTGAGATACAGCCACCGCTGTGGGCCATATTGGGCTCCCCAGGCATTTTCCAAATTTCGAAGGGGATCCCCTAGAAATTTTGACAAAAAATCTAAAAATATTTTCGTTAGAGGATTTTAATGCAGATTGATCAAGAATCGATCTACAAATCGTTTAAGGTATTCCTCTCAAGAATCGGATGAATAATGGCTGAGATACAGCCATCGCTGTGGGCCATATTGGCCTCCCCAGGCATTTTCCAAATTTCGAAGGGGATCCCCTGGAAATTTTGACAAAAAATCTAAAAATAATTTCGATCCAGGATTTTGATGCAGATCGATCAAGAATCGACCTACAAATCGTTTAAGGTATTCCCCTTAAGAATCGGATGATTATTGGCTAATTGTTGTCCCCAGGCATTTTCCAAATTTTGAAGGGGACCCCCTGGAAATTTTGACAAAAAATCTAAAAATAATTTCGATCCAGGATTTTGATGCAGATCGATCAAGAATCGATCTACAAATCGTTTAAGGTATTCCCCTTAAGAATCGGATGATTATTGGCTAAGATACAGCCATCGCCGTGGGCCAAATTGTTGTCCCCAGGCATTTTCCAAATTTTGAAGGGGACCCCCTGGAAATTTTGACAAAAAATCTAAAAATAATTTCGATCCAGGATTTTGATGCAGATTGATTAAGAATCGATCTACAAATCGTTTATGGTATTCCTCTCAAGAATCGGATGATTATTGGCTTATTGGCTCGGATTATTATTGGATACAGCCATCGCTGTGGGACATATTGTCCTCCCTAGGAATTTTTCAAATTTTCCTGGCATCCCTGGCAATTTACTGGATTTCTCTCTTGTGGATGAAGATAACCTTTAACCTTACATATTTATACGTACCAGGAATCCGTTGTGGCCATTTATCTTGTAAAAGTTGTCGTCGGATTGTGTTTTTAGAGTCAAAACCAGACCCATGTCTGGCCCAAAATATCTCTGGCGAAAGTCTCTTTTATTAACGTATCTTTAAAATAAAAGTAAATCCAAAACATAATGAATGTTGTATTGTTTTACAAACCAACCTACCTTCCATCATAGTTGAAAGTGCAGCAGTAACCATGACTAGTCAAAGTCTCTTCGAACTGTTCAAGGCAATTGAAAAGTCGTCCTGCAATCCTGCAGGACACAAATATTTCACTGCAGTTTGGAGTCAAAACATGCATACGCTTTCTGGTGTTGAAAAATAACTCATGGGCCTCAGTATCGAATCTATCCAAGAAGCTTTGGAACATAAGGGCACTATCAATATCTTTGAGATCGGTGGGGTCATAGTACATGTATAGAAAAGCATTAAGCTTTTTGTAAAAAAAGCTGGCATTATTGTTTTTTGGATCTTTAGAACTCCTGGTATAAATAATTGTTAATCTTTGGATCTAACATAGTCCGAAAACTTACAATTCCTGGGCGTATTGCCAGGCTGCACGTCGAGAAATGCGGTTTACAGTACAGATGGATATGGCCGGAAACTCCACCTTCCAAATGGGATACAACGGGTGATACATGGTGGTCACCAGGGCATCCTGTTCATTGGTGTAGGTGCCCCAGAGGAATGCAATTAGGACGCTCAAAGCGGTTATGTGGAAAACGAGCCAGAAGAAACTGCGGGTGGTTAACCGTTTCGGTAATGGCTAATGCTAATTGAAAAAGGCCACCACCACATCCGGAGTTGTGGGAATGAACTATACCAGCCGCTGACCACAGCCCACTCACCGCTCTTGAATCCGGCGACCGTGCTCCACTAATTTACCGTAACAATGAAAAGACAGGTTCTCCAGCAAATCCTTTAAAGCGGCAGCAAATGACATTTTTCGCGTATCCTCGGCGGAAGTCGTGGCGGCAATCACAGGTGCGTGACGTAGTTGGAGGAGGGAGGTGGGTTTCTTTTTCCCCGGATTGGGAATCCACCAGGCAGCCCGTCCTACTGCCAGCCGGACGGGCAGCTGCTCCTGCTCTTGCGGATCCATGAACACCAGCTATCCAGTCCACAGCGTGACTGCAACTGTTGGTCCAAGGGCGGCATTGTCCTCGCCTCGGCAAGGGCTGATTTTAATGAAAATTTCGCAGTCATGTCGTGCGTGTTGTTGTAATTAGGCCTGGTGCTCCAACTTATTGCCAACAAATTAACTGCGACATGGCACGTGGTGTTCGTTGGCTCTGTAGAGGGACGAGGAGCTCGCGTTCAAGTAGGCATTGGTCCTGTTCTCGATTCGTCTTGGCAATTTTCCTTAATTGTCAACAATTTAAAATGAAATTAGTTAAATGCGCGTTAAATGTCAGCCAGCGGAAACATCATCATCATCAGCAGCAGGAACAAGTTTTTGTACTTGTTCTTAACCCCCAAGCCACCGAAACCAAACCATACCTCCTAGGATTATGAGATGCGTAGGTAAATGAAGGACAGAGATGGAAATGATGATTCAAAAGCTTCTCGCTCTTTAAATTAGTTAACAGGAAACAAGAATTTAGCAACATGTCATCCTAGAAAAAAAAACGTCACTGAAAATAAGATTTGTGAAACATATTGACATGAACGGAAATGGCACATTTTCGTTTGAATAAAGCGTATTCCTCGACTGGGCGACAAAGGATTGTGCGACGAATTGCTCCCCAGGTGAGTGGAAACCCCACCGCTACCACCATTGGCACCATTTTCACTTGGCAGCGGGGACGACTGGCAGCGGCCAAATTAATCTGCAAATAAGCAGGCGACAGGCTATGTTGGTGGATGGAGAGGAAGCAGTCGGACAAGATAAACGCACAAAGCGCAGAAAATCGGTGCACGATGCGGGCGATGGCGGAGTGTGTCTATTTTTTCTTTTTGAGGTAGGAACGGAAACGGAAATGAAAAATGTGAAAAATGCAGTGCGCAGCGAGACGCGAAAAACGACAGTCAATGGGGACAGGAGAGGAAAACAGGCGAAGGACAACAAAGGGGGGCTGGGGTGGGGCGTAATACCCGTCAGGCACTGCAGCGAAAATTGCAAATGCAAATTGTCTATGGAACTGATATGAGTGCGTGTGCGAAGCGTGGCTTCTGGTGCACACTGCGTATGAGTAACATCGGTGCTGACTTTTCTTTTATCTCCTACTCACCTTTTTCTTCGCCCACCCACGTCCTTCGGCGTTGATTCCGGTGCCAATAGTTTGCCATATCTCTTGGCGGGAATATATTGCGTAGTAAATCTGTCTTATCCAGACAAAGGCTCAATCCAAGCGAATGCAGTCCCGACTCCACTCGCCGTACAGTTCCGGATCGGAAACTCAGCTTGACTTTGGGCTGGGGAATGTCTTCAATTGGCCCTCCCTTGGACAAATTAATTATTAATATTTGATCTGATTTTTATTATAAATATGTCTTTTATATGTTTCATTATGTTCGGAATAGATAGTAATAGTACATAAAAAATACGTTACATTTTTTTATTTAGGTAATTGAAGCTATAAATACTTATCTCAGTCAATTAAGTAACAATTTAATAGCTTAATTAAATAAAACAAACACCTGTTTGAAAACCGCCCAAGAAAAAACATTTCAAATCAAAAGCTTCAATGCTTTTTCATGCAAAATGTGGCAACGCTAAAGAGCTTTTAAATTTAAAAAACCGTTGGTGGTTTTAATTTTATTAATTTCAGAAAATCGTTGTTTCGATAACATTAAAGGCTCATTTTCGGCAAATAAATTACTCAAGTAGTACTCAAATTGCAATAGAATACAATTTAACCACAAAAGGTCTTTAAAATCTTTCAATACGTAGCATACTTTTTGGGATACTAGCCAGCTCTCTGTCAGAAGTTGATGGCTACGAAACCATTTGACTGGGGAAGAAGAAATATTCAAATTCTCTCTCCGATTTAATTCAAAGTGAGGATTCATCAAGTTCAAATTATTACACAATAATTGCGTGACCTCAATTAAAAGGCTTACAAAAAATATAGTCGCTATAAATAATATAAAAATGAGTAGCAAATGCGGAACTTCCTCAACTGGAGATGGAGAAAACTTGTTCTCAAACAAACCGATTAAGAATAACTCAATTAAACGTTGAAAATGCGTTAATTTACTTAAATTACTTGTAAAGGATTTCCTGAAATGATTTATAAAAATATATAAACATTTTTGAAGCAATTTTAAGTATTAGATGTTTTTTTATTTTAATGTTTAGTTGAGAATACGGTAGGTATTAGTGTTATATTATTTTTCTATAAGCTTAGAGCCCTATAATATATAGCTCTGTCATTTGTATCCTGTATGCTCCTATAATTATTAATCAATGGCCTCTTGCGTGAATCCTGAAGATTGTAAAGTTTTGCTATTTGACGTTGAGGAAATTCGAGGACATCGCTGAAAACATTCCAAGTTACCGCCTCTGCACAGTCCGGCGTGGTCAAGGATCCTAAAAATGGTTTTGCATTAAAATCAATTATCTATATCTGGTTCAATATATTCACCATTGTAGGTATAAAACTCCCCAGTTACTATATTTCCAAGCAACTGGCCCACATTCAAAGTGCCAGTGATGGTTGCGTTCGAGTTGTACTCCACGATCCGAGGCAGCTGGTTGAAGATCTTGTTAAGTCCATGGTTTCGAGTGCTCAGTCGGTTTACCGCCCTCATCATGACACCCAGGACTGCCAGCCCATCCGGATTCAAAGTGGCATCACTCATATTGGCGTACTTGGTATTCTTGTGGACAATATGCATTTCCACATCGTAGCGCTCATAGTTAATGGCGTGCTCGGAACCCTTTGTGTTCCTGGAACCCCAATGGAAGTGCACGCTCTGGACTTCAAAATCGCCAGGCAGAAGTCCACCGTTTATATACGGACGCACTCCATCCCTAGTAAGAGGAATCACCATGTTGGCTGCCCAAAGAAATCAAAGGTTAGAGCCTCACCTGGAGCTTAGAAATCACTCACCTGTGTGGCCATTATTTGTGATCACCAGTGGAGCACGTAGGGTTTGGTTATAGTAATTGAATCGCAGTCGGGGAATGGAAACAATCTTTGCATCCGCGAAAATGAGATCTATGGGAGACTGGGATGTTCCTGACTGGCATGTTCCTTGCCAGTCATCTCCCTGCTCATCATAGTTATACTCCCCAGCAGCCTGATCGTTTACGGCATCTTGCTTTATGAAAGCTAGATAATCTTCAGAGATTTCTAAAAAAAAATCCTGTAATAAGAAACTGTCTGTTTATAAAAAAAAATTAAGGTTACCTATATAAGCAACTGTGCTGCCAAGAATTGTAAGTAGCCACAAAAAACAGGACGTGATCATATTCAAAAGCGAAACTTTGTTCTGATTTTCTTTTAGTTCCGATCCCGGTTGAGATTGAAGCAAGACTGTAAAGCGCTCAGAACCAAGCAGGACTATTTATACTGGAAAACTGCAGTAATTTCCAAGTGGATGTGCATAACCGCCTGATAAGCACAATCACTCCCATTCGACGTTGCAGTTTCAGCCCTATTCAGCTAAGCCTTAGTCTATGGGCATAATTTACATCGAAATTGCAAATAGCTTTACAGTTTTTGCTGTTGCCAAACCAGCCTAGATAATTGACTTTGGCCGAAAGAACCCATTGGGTAATTAATAAAGGTGGCCCATTCCTGTTCTGTGTTCTCATTCTTAGTCTTCTTGGATTAGAAAGCACGTTTAAATATTGAACGGAGGCGTATCGTCAAATCACTTAAATAATGGCAATGGGCAGTTCCCGAACAATGTCGATCACTGAACGATTTTTCAATGCCTGGAAAACGTGCTGTCGTTGGCTGTAAGTTCTTTATTGAATTTTTTTTTAACTGACAAGTGCACATATGCATCAGTTTAGTCTGTCATAATTTTTTTTAGAATAAAAGCAATCAAAAAAAGTCGATACCATTAATCGAAACACAATTGAATCATATCCATTAAAAGCTGCAGTACGACAACGAAATTAAAGCTTTATTGCTGTCTGGAAAAATGTCTCATTAAAGGTAAACCCATTAATCGCTTATCTGTTAGCCTAACAAAGGCATCACCCTTACTGATCTTGGGTAACAATTATAATATTAATTTTGTTGACAATCCATAAAACCTTATAATTTGCAACGTTTATGGTTCAATTTAATGGTTTACAAAAAATATAGGATGTACTAAACTAAATTTCTAACGTCTGAACTATTCTTTATGGAAAAGTAACCAGTTTTTTTATTTCCCAGAGTAATCTTTCTTCTACCCACAATTTAACATTGAACAGCTGCAATGGCAATCTTACTTTGACCTTAGAAATTGTAACCGACTTATGGTTTATGTATACAGTTGTTCCAATAGTTTCATAATCTTCTTTAAGAAAATTGAGTTGATGAGTCCAGATAAAGAATAACATTTTTATTTCAAACAATTTATAATGCTTATACACCTAAAATAAATAATTTCATATATTATACTTATGTTATGATACTTAAGATACTATCACTTCCCCAAGTAGGCTCCACTTAGATCCTTTCCAGTTCTGTAATAGACCGGTCGACCATTTCTTGGCTGTGTGAACCGGTAGTTATTGATGAGTTTGTGACCCTCTGAGTCTCGTAACCTCCAAAACTTGGTTACCAAGGAAAGGGATATTGGAAGGACATGGGAGAACACCGTCCAGGTGACCGCCTCTTCGCATTCCGGTGTCGTCAGAGATCCTCGATATGTGAAGAAGTCACGGGGATTCAAGTCACCCAGCATCTGGCCCAAGCTAATACTGCCCGGAATAGTTGCTTTCTGTTTGTAGTTGGTAATTTTTGGCAACTCGGAAAGAACTTTGTTTAGGCCTGGGTAGAAGCGATTGGGATTCTAGAAATTGAAATATAATATTAGAAATCCATAAAAGACACCCATTGAAGTGGTAACTGTGTGGCACGTCTTAAGGTGTTCGTTTTCAATTCAACCGACACAAACGATATTTATCACGTTAAAGTTCGATTCAACAGTTTCTCTAAGAAATCAGTGATAAGTGATATGCCTTCAACCTACCTTAACCACTTTGAACATAACACCGAGAACAGCAACTCCATCCTTGTGTTTGACTGCCTCTTTCAGATCAGAGTACCGGGCATTCCGATGGACGATGTGCATTTCCACATCGAATCGCTGTTTGTTGATGGAGTGCTCGGATCCTCGCTGGTTTATGGAACCCCAATGGAAGTGGAAGCCCTCGGCAATGAAGCGACCATTCAGAAGTCCTCCGGTTATAAAGGGTCTCTTTCCGTTTATGGTTTCGGGTATGTCCATGTGGGCTGTGGGTTTGAAATGATATTACCCCTCTGTTGTATTATTATTTTTACACCTGACCTACCTGAATGTCCGTTGTTTTCCAAAGTTAGCGGAGCTTTAAGTTTCACGTCATAGTTTCCAAACAAGATTCGAGGCAATGGCACGATGAGCGACTGGCAAAAATCATGGAAATAATGAAATAAGAGCTGCCATTTTCTATATCACTCCCTTTACCACTTCCTATTTAACCTGAATCATTACCTCTTGTAATGCTGAAAGTGGCATGTAAAGAGTTTTTCAATTGGGAAGCAATTTGTACTGAAACTCAGTTTCGCTTATCAAATTAGCTGTCAATGTCTGTTGCTTTCGTTTAAAATTGTTTATAAATCATAGGGTATGCGGTAACCTAAGTAGGTCTTTTTGAAGTCACCCAAACTCTTTTGTAAGCTTGTATCCAAAGAATAGCACATTGAAAAAGCAAATATCTAGTTGTGACTAGTGGTTCTCTTTAAGATAGTTTTTTGTGATACACATTTTGATAAGCCATAGCCAAATCCAACTTAATAGATGCGCATATAAAATAAAGACGTCTGCTTTGCTTGCATAATTAATACATCTTAGGTGATACATATTTTTATACAAAATGGTTTCGACTTTTTTATTTAAGAAATTTACAACAATAGTTTAATGTTTTGGAATGCCAAAATGTGTTACCACTTTCAGCAAAGCATTATAGCATGGTAATTATTTTATTTTAGGATGTATTTTGGGATGATGTAACTCACTTTTTGGACGGCCAACTGGAGGGGAGACTGTCTCACTCCCGAAGAACAGGTACCGCCCCAGTTCTCACCGTGCAGCTCGTAATTCCAATGTGTCACATGTTTCTCGGCATCTGCAAGTTTGAAATTGAAGCAAAAACAAAGCCTGAGTCGATTCAATGAAGCGTTTCACTTTCTTTCAGCCACTAAGCATCTGGTAATCCTATTAGCCAATACCGTGAATAAATTCACTTCTGTTTCGATTTGATTTGCCGGAATCAACAGCGACTCTCTCATTTCAGGGCCCCCAAACAAGGCGTTGTTGGGGCTCACTCGATTTGGCAGAATGATTAATTATGGACCATGAATGGTAGAAAGAGTTCAGTTTAGGCCTCGATTGGCACTATTAAATAACTAAGTTATTCAAATTACTTAATTGTTTCATTTTTCAGTTTATTTCCCACAAAGTTATTGCACTTTTTATTATTTCCCGAAGTTGCACCATATATGTAGGTTCTGGGATTCAAATTACCATTTGATGTATGCTGATAGGCCAGCGGCAGTAATAGTAAAAGCTTGTGAAAAACACTAGGGGATTGCATTGTTGCAATTATCAAGATGTGATTGTTCCGTTTATGATTATTCAATTGATTCTAGAAGCGCGTATTCTTAATCTTTTCTCTCGAGACCTTTCCGTTTTTACATAATCTATCTGATACGGGAGATATGCTAACGGTAGCAATGCTGCTGCTGGTGCTGCTGCGGCGGACGACGTTCAACTGAAACAGCTCGGAAATACACCTTTAACTTTTATAGTGGGTTAGTGGTGCCACACGGTGCCGCCGGTGGCTCTGCGTCTGGGGGATTGAAATTGGAGTGAAGTGGAATCGTATCGGATCTGAATTCGAAACCGAAGTGGGGCGTGATTAGCGCCAAACAGTAGCAACAAGTGTCTGTCTAATTGCAGCTGCTTGTTTTCGAAATGATAAATGATCTATGGCTCCATACGCAATATGTGCATATATCGAAACCGTTTAAGAAAATCTTAAGCAACGTTCAGAAAATTAGTGGAAATGCGGAAAAGATCTTTCAAGTTTGGTTTAAATCGGTGAATGGCATTTAAATCAATTTTTCCTGGTTCTTCATTGGTAAAAACCCAAGGGGATTTTGTAGACATAATGGCGGGGATTGGAGATTTTGCTAAAATCCATTAAAACATTTTCATTTTCAAAAATCTTTTTATTTCCATGTAATAGCCAGCGGGAATTAATATCCACTAAGCCCTAAATTAAAATTCGCAACACGTTTCGCATAAATTATAAAACAATATCGAATTATCTAATTCTCTTAGTCCATGCTGTGATGCTTTCAAATTACATTAAAAGAAAGTATTTTAAAATTTGCATCTGAATTATTAATCTCAAAATATTTTTACAATCTTTTCGCCAATTCTTTTATACACTATTGAATCATCTAAGTTGGGTCAGAGTTGTTAGACAGGTTCCGACTACGTCATAGCCAAAAATCTGGGAAATCCTCTGACCAGTTACAGCATAATTATCTTTCGCCTATAACTTCTTTTTCGAATGTTCCACAATTCGTATAATGTAGGTGACTTACATAAGAGCCCTATTCAATTAGGACGGACAATGGCCACTAGCTGTGGTAACATCATTTGTTGCCATTGGTTGTCGGCTCGCAATTATGTTGGGCAAGCAGCTGGTTTCACTTTTCAATCATCTCCGGCTCAGGCACCAGAAGAAAGTAGCTTAACATTTTTTTAGACTTTATATTAAAACTGTATTTCGTATTCTGTAACTAATAACTAAGTATTCATGCACACTCATGGTATATGGAAAGGGTATGATATTGTAAGAAGATTTTGATATATGTATGTCGCTTTGTCGCTTACATGCCTAATCAATGGAAACGTAACAATGTCCAGCTAAACAAGCACGCGGTTCTACGCAGTCAAACTGCAGTACTAAGGTTATTGCAGCACAATTTTGACAAAAGTCAGAGCTCGGTGGCAAAGTAGATGCGTCGGCTGGGTCAGAAGTCGCCCACGGTATGCGATACGAACTCGAATTGCCGCTCAACACTGTTCTCTACTTCCAACTCCAGGGAATCGTCGATAAAATGCATCTCCACATGTTCCCGGAAGGCGTTAAATGTCACCTGGCTGGAATAGATCTTGCCGCACATGGGACAGGTCTTCTCCAAAGCATCGGCTGCATCCGCCTTTATCTTTTCCTGTATTATGTTAATTCGCTGTACGGGCGGAGGTGTTATATTGTGACCGTTGTGTTTTATTTCGTTGCCAAGACTCTCGTCTGTCTCGAGGCTTTTGTCGGCCATTTCCGGCTTCTTGGCCGACTTTTGGGCGCAGTCCGGGCAGGGTTGCAGTGCTAACATCAGATAAGATAGTGGTTACAAGATACATAACTATTAAAAGCGATGACTCCTTACCAATGCGACTCTCTAGGAGAGTCAGCGCCGAACTAAGTTCCTGCTGCTGCTTCATCGCTTCCCGCCGCATCTCCTGCAGCCCGTCCATGCATCGTTTGGCATCCACGTTGGCATCTGCTTCACTGGCGGAGGTCTCTTCCACGGGCAGACCATAGGGATACCCCAGCTCAGAGTCGCCAGCCCCAAAGTCGTCCAGGGCTATCTCTTCTAGGCTGAGATCCCTTATTCCATCGGAAAGCATCTTTTGGCGCAGGTGAGGATTGGGAGAGTGCTGTGTGAAAGTCTTGGAGCGCACCAGGTTCTGGTTTAGATTGGCACGCGAGTCAGGCGATGGGGGAGCCGCCTGCTGTAACTGCTGATCCTTGGAGAGCTGTGATAAGCGCGACCAAAGTCGCCTGTTTTCGTTGGACACCATGCTGATGTGCTCCTCCAGCTGCTCCTTCTGCCGCTGCAGTTCACCCACCTGAGCGCGCAGAGATATGACGTCTCCAGCGCCGGATCCACTACCCGGCATCTGACCATCCGATTTGGCCGAGGCCTCGCGCAGCCTTTGGTTTTCCTCCTCCATGCTGGTCACGCGGCGTTGCAACTGGATGCATCGCTCTTTAATCGTCTGCAGGGCAACTTGCAGTGCATAATTCATTTTTTCGCCGGATGCGGTAATGGCGGAGGGGGCGTTTTTAGCAGAGGTGGCCTCCATTGCAAGTCACCTTCGTCGCGGCACAATTTGCATCAGAAAATCACAATTTTGGACTTTATAATATATGTTTTCTTTGTGATTTCGTTTGATATGGTGGTGGTTACAAGTCGATTGGAATACCGATGCATCGATAGATGTTTGCAGCGCCCTCTTTGGGGCAGAGCAAAAAGTAAGGGAAAAGGGTGGCAACATTTCCGATGTTTTTAAACAGCTGACTTTGTTTATTATTATTCAACACATTTTCCAATGCTTTTCGGCAAGAGTTTAGTAAATTATTTCTATAAATATAAGAGAAAAGTTTATCAAAATGTGTATACCATAACTAAGCGCAATACTGCAACCTGCTCCCCACCCAAAATATTGTTTTTTGGCACCGATAATTTTTCTTTACCCAGCTTACAGGCTCTCCACAGAAACTGCGGGTAAGTGAGTAATTAGGAGATAAATTAGGATAAATAAATTGTGTTCTTTTCTCAGTGACGGCCTGGGTGTGGTTACCTCCTTCAAGAGCCCGGCAAACTGCGTACGTAGCTACGCGGAACAGCAGAAAATCCCGCTGCAAAGGTGGCCTATCAATTCGTCCCAATGCGCCGGCTTCGACTTGGGCGTAGTGGTGTCCTTTGGTCACTTGATACCTGCCAATATAATTGGAGCTTTTCCCTCAGGGATGATCAACGTGCATGCCAGTTTGCTGCCCCGCTGGAGAGGAGCGGCGCCCATAATTTACGCCATCATGAACGGCGACACCAGTACTGGAGTTTCGATCATGAAAATCGAACCACACCGGTTCGATATAGGTGATGTAAGTCTACGAGACGCTTAAAACTATTTTTTTTCTAAATATTTTACTATAGATTTTAGCTCAGCGAGAGGTTGCCATTAAGCCGGATGTTTTCATGCCGGAATTGCATACCTCTCTTGCCTTATTGGGAGCCGATTTACTGGTGGATACTGTTAATAACTTGACGGAAAGGCTGGAAAATGCTACTCCTCAAGACAATGCAACTGCTAGTCATGGTAATATCATCAATTATTTTAAAACTCAGTTTATCAATGGTATTTTATAGCTCCCAAGATCACGGCGGAAATAGCTGAAGTAATCTGGTCGAAGCACACCGCCTTACAAATACATGCTCGGCATCGAGCCTTATTCGGTTACAAAAACCTAACTACCAACTTTTTGGAAAAGCAAGTGCAACTTCTGGATATCAGATTACCTGACAAGTCGCTACCTCTTCAAAAACCTGGAAGCTTTAGCTTTCATCGCAAAAGGAAATCCCTGCTGATCGGATGTGCTGAAGAAAGTCAAATAGAAGTTCTTCAGTTACGAATAGAAGGACGAAAGCCTATGAGGGCCCGGGACTTTAACAATGGTTTTCTTAAACAAGCCAGTTCCTTGAACTTTGAGGACAATAAACTACGAGCATGTTAACAAAGTTTTAGTTTTAATGCACAAAGGTACTTAATATCTAGGCCAAGTCAGAGGGCTTGACCTCCTTGGTTTCCGAGAGCGTTTGCGTAGATTTCTGTAGCAGATTCTTGGTAAACCACATGGGACGGGGTTTTTTCATCTCAACGATACGTTTACTGTTCAGCTCATCGGCAGACTTTTCGGCTTTCTCTCCCTCGTACAGGACAATAACCTCCTTTTCAACTGGGTCCAGACCAAGCTCGTCTTGGATCTTCTCTTGCATAAGCTTTGTTTCATTTAGAACTTTCTGATAGCAGAAGGCTTAAAGTAAAAACATATTAGATGATATATAATAAAAGGTTGTTTAAAAAACCTACGACACAGCGTTCCCATTTCATAGTCATGACCACATTGCAAGCACGAGCGGAGATGCCTCTTTTCCTTCAGCGGTTTCCACACGTATTCCGGGTAGCCAAACTTTCGGTTTAGTCGTTTCTCCACAGATCTCCTGTGCTTTGGCACGGCCCACAGCATGCCGTCCCCAATTAATTGTTTCAGGCTGAACTCAGTTTTCTTCCCGGTCGTGTATCCGCTGTGCTCGTGTTGGAAACCGGCCAGCGCCAACGCTGTGTGAGATACTAGGTTAGAAGGGCTTATACCAAAAGATGCTTCTTTTAATTACCTGGCGGGTGACCGCCAAAGGGTAGAAACATGCGTTCTACATTTTTAATGAAGTTAGTAATTGATAAAAACAAATTCCTCGACATGTTGCAGGAGTTATGACACTATTTGGAGATGACACTTCATTAGAGATGAAACTTAGCTAGAGGTGTAACCGCTTTCTTCTTTTTTTTTGGTGATAACACTAGAGATGGGCGCTCGCATAACAGCTGACCCACAGCTGGGCCAACAGCTGTTCTGCACAAGTTACGTCAAAATAAAGTTGTGAAAAGGTGCAAATTCCCTTCGAATTAAATAAAAACTATTGCCAAGTGCAGAAAACGAGAGAAAGACGTCATCTTTGAGTGTTTGAGCGCATCTAGAACATGAGGACACTGGCAGCAGGTGGAAGTTAGGGGGTGCCAAGCTGAGCGGCGTTACAAGTCAGCAAGAGCACCTGTATATAGTTGGAATATAGCGTGCGGCTTTGCCCCAGGCCGACTTTGGCGACCAAGTGAAGGCAAAACTGTGCGGCGGATGTGCAACAGCAGGCCTGCGCTCGAATATCCGCTCAGCTTCAAGTTCAAGCCGAGCTTAGATCGGCCGCCGAGTCGGTAATACCTTCGGACTCACCACCCAGCCCACCTGGCCGGTATTCACCACACCTGGCGGCGCGCACGCGCATCGTGCCAAAAACGGACGTCTGGCTGAAACACTTCGCTGGAGCTGCTGGAGCCAGACGCAAGCAAAGCGCTTCGCCGCCGCCTCAAAACCGTATCGAAATCGCGATCAAGTTCGCAGGTCCTGCGACTACTATAAGGATTAAAAACCGAAAAAACTGAAAACTACAAAATAATGCTACCAACGAGTGGCTCATATTGAATTCTGTGTATGTGTGTGTGCCCGTTACAAGCTTCCAGTTAAAAGCACTTGCACCTGCACCTGCCTCAATCAACCTCTTCCTCAACCCAAAAATACCTTTACTATAAATAGTACAACAAAATCCACAAAATGGCCTGCTTGAGCACTTCCGGTCGCGTTGTGTGCGGTTCGCGTCGCCAGCAGACGCACAAACTATTCTACCAGCTGTTTGGTTCCCGGCCAGGATACACGACAAGATCCGGAACTGGAGCGAATATGCCAGGACTACATAGAACACAGCAAATGCAGCTGCAGCAGGCGATACGACCATTTCATGGAGTATGCTTCAACATCGGGAAGGATTACCGCGATCTGCTGGTGAGTTCATTGCCAGGCGGGTTCACCCGCCAACTGGCGGCCAAGACGGAACCATGACCATACCAACCCGTTAGGCTGGCCAAGAGTGCATTGGCTGCTGCGCATGCGCAAAGTGTTTGCCGCTAATGCGTCTGCGTGACTTTGGCTTTTGCCTTGTCCGCTTTTCATTTTCATTTCATTTCGCTGCAAAGCCAAAAAGAAAATGAAAGTGAAATTGGTCGCTTGGGCTTGCCAGTGTTGTTGGCCGATGCTTTTGTGCAAGTAGCGTGAAAATAAAAACCAAAGGCCGAAGACAACAACAGCCCCCTATAACAACAACCACAAATACAACATGGACAACATACAACTTACAACTTACAGCGCCCACCGACTCGATAGTGTGTTGTAGCCGATGTTGTTGGCGGAAGCTGCCGCATTTATTTATTATTATGTTTGCTTTTTTTTCCATTTTCCGAACACACCAGCTCAGCTTTGGCGTTTTTCTGTGTTTTTCCTTGCATATTTGCAAGGTGAAGTGTTTTTTTCTGGCTCCCTCTTTCTCTTTCTGGCTGTGGCAATTGTGTCTCTTTCTAGTCTGCCTGCCGTTTATCATTATTTTTTATACATTTCGTTGACAAAGTCTGTAAGTTTTTTGCTTTAAATCTTTTTTCAAGCCAATTTTTTCTCATTTCTTTCATTGTTATGCAATGCTAGTTGGAAATTTGCAAAGATTTTGTTTATTGCTCGTATTTAACAATAGTTATCGTTGGCATTGTTTGATTTTCGCGCTATTTGCTCTTCCAATAAACATCTGATTGGAGTCAGTGGCTCTCAAACTGTTCGCCCATTTTTGTTCCAAAACTGTGACATGCGTCGTATACGCAATATCCGGTATTGAGATTTGAAGTGGATCTCTGCCGGGTTCTGTTTCCCCCCCTTTTTTTTTTTGTTTTGGCTGTTATGTCAAACACATGAATCGGTGTTTTTGCTTATCAGCTGCCCAAGTGCTGGGAGCAATTGATAACAAGTCGATTTCATTTATTTTACGGGCCATTGCTAGTGCCTCTAGCTTTTAGATTAGAATTCATGTAATCGGCACCATCTGGTTTTCTAAATGCATTTCATGAATGACGTACTACGACCAGAAGGGCAATAAAATGCATTCCCAATTATTATTTATTGGCATTTCTCGTAGCGAAGGACAAATGTAAATATAAATTTTCCTTTGGGAAAATCTCATCTCATCTTTTTATGTTCTGCGATGTGACTTCTCCAACGCATTGTTTTAAGTGAGCCTTCATATTAATAGGATAGTTACTGCCTTGACTATGTAAACCAAACAATTAGCGAATTGGTTTCTCACATTGGCTTTTTAGTTTATTGTTTTATGGCACGCCATTACAGCCAGCCCATTTCAGTGACTGGGGATGGCTATGATTTAATTGCTTTAGCATTGCAAGTGCAATAAATTGAAATTGAATGCAGTTTTGTAGCCTTATTGGCCATTGGAATAAAACAGCCCATAGCTCGTAGTTTGGCTTTGAAGCCTTGAAGTAAATATTAGTACTTGGTCAGTGTTGGTGTTTGGTAAATAAATATAAAAAATAAAGTTAATTGCTCGTTAAACTCAATCTCTTGACACTCGTTAGACTGGCCCTGGGGGGTTAGGGGGGTTAGGCTACTGCTATTTTCACATAAAATTAAGTGAATATGAAACGTATCATCATCATGTCTATGTTTAAAACGAATTGAATGCATTTCGGAGAGGATTCCGAGTGTTACTTCACAGAAAAAGTCAAAAAAATTGTGTATGCCGTTGTCGTTATCACGTTATTTATGCATTTTAGTTGTTTAGGACGCTTTGTGTTTCATTTCGGGCCGAATAAAAATTCATTCAACGCCAAATCGGTTTTATGCCCAACTCACATCCACACATCCAACAGATACAAGCACCTGGAAACTGATACGTTCATCTATCATAGGTAAACAATAAACAAAACGCAAATAGAAAGCGCACGTCGCAGCGACAGAGACGTTGGCAGCGCTGTTGCTGGCCAAAAAAAAAAGTCAAAAACTCAAAAAAAAAAACAAAAAAACGCCAACTAATAATAGTCGGCAATGGCAGAAGCAACAACAACAAATACTGAGACAACAACAGCCACATAGAAGAAATTCACTTTTAACGGTTTCTTTGACTTTCTTCTTCATTTCATTTGCCAAGCTGCTATGCTGCTATGGCATTGTTTTGGCCAAAAGAAACCAGTCAAAAAAACAAAAAAAAAACTGAAAGAGTTCGGGCCTTTATCTATGCACCACACGATTTTGGCAAGAAACCTACTATTGGCCAGCTCTAGTAGCCGCTTATCGCTGCTCAGTACATCGTTGGCTCGAATTAGTGGCTCGAATTGCATGCTCTCTTCCGCAGCCCTTTCCCCCTTGGTATTTATAAACTTTTCACTTTCATTGCAAATGCGTTAAATAGAGACGAGACTCTACACCTCTTTTTTTTTTTTGGTTGAGCTGCCATGGTCTCGAAGAGTTTTAACGCCAGCGTGTGAATTTGATGGGTTGATACTCCCAAGGTGGCGATTTTTCAATTAGATTAGAGAGTCGGACTACAGTTAGATGATGTTGATTGATTTTTGTTGATTCTCCCTCGGACTTTGGCTGATTTGAATTCGAGGGTTTGGTCTTGTGAAAGTGAAACCGAATCTCGACCTGTTTTCAGGTTCCAAAATTTAGAAATTTTCGACACGAACTTGATGGTCAATAAAATTGGTTATTTTATGTAGAATTAAGTGTAAAATTGGTTATCTTTAAAAGAAAACCTTAATCTTTAATAAAATTACTTATGGGAAGCTTTCAGGAATTTGTTAATTAAAATTTCTCAACTGGCATACCTTAAATAATATTTCACAATCACTCACATTTCTTTTGGTCAACCCCATGTGCGAAAGTCATCAGTCTCAGCGAGCATGAATATGTTAAGCCAAAAAAAAAGAGTAGTAGATATGCTAAAAGATACATCTGTCGTATGCACGAGATGGTCAGATCGTAAATCTTTGTCTTTGTGGATGTATCTTTATTTCTGCAAAGTCAAAAAAAAACAAAACACTTTCACTCGCCTCATACTGACCAAAGTTCCAAATTGCCGACAAAAGCCCCTGCCGAAAATCTTCACGAGGATGAACCAACAAAATATTCTCCATCAGTTGAACATTAAATATGCTTAATATGCAGTTATGGTTTAATTGGCCAGTTGGAGGGGTCGCAAGACAGGAAAAAAAAAATCGAAGCCCAAATTGGTTGAGGGGCATGCCTAAGCGGCTTTGAGTTGACTTTCATTCAACCTGTCCTACACCTGCAATGGTCTCTTTGATCGTTTGCTGCTGCTGCTGTAGCTGGCCAGGCCAGGGCAACTTTGCCTTTGGTATTTTTCGGCCCATAGCCCGTACTTGCTGACCCAATTCCAGAAAGACGCATGCGTTTTGGTTTGGTGTTGTCCTAAACTGGTTTCGGCTTCAGTTTCGGTTTCGGTTGCGGCTGAGGTTGCTCTCTCCTTCACTCCCCGTGATTGGCGGCGTCGGCCAAGACTGTTAACTGTTAATGATTTCAGCGTTGTTTTCCTTAACAACAAAATATTTCGGATTTCGATTTGAAAGCCGAAAAAGAAGCTACGCCGCCACCGACACACAGCTCCACAAGTATGGAGCAAGTTTGGTTAACTTTTGGCCCAAAAGAAGTTGCATAACTACCCGATGGTAGCCAAACCTACCAATTCAGCCCCACATTTCATCAATGTCGCTCATGTTCGACCACTGTCCGTTTTACATTTATTTATTTTTTTTTTTGATGTTTTATCAATAATTATCATAAATTTGACTATCTGCCGTAGAGCATGTTTCCCACACACTGATTGCCCCATTGTTTGTTTATCGCAGCATTGTGGTCTCCTCTCATCAATGAACTGTTTGCTTAACATTCTGAGTTCCAATCGTTATTAGGCTTGCTTTAATTTGGGCAAGGGTTTCACCTAATTAACATTGGAATTTGGTTAAATGTTTGTCGACGCTTTTATGATTTTCGTATTTCGAAATCGAAATCGCACTGGCAATGCCAATGGCCCCCTATCCCACCTCCGACGATAACCAGAAATTAGTATAGTGAGCCTTAAATTTGAATTCATTTGGCGGCACGCGTCACATTTTCTTGCAGATTTGCAATCTGCATTTAAGAGTTTTGTTTTTTTTCCTGTATGCAGTATGTTTTTATGTAATTTTTTGGTTATTGGGCGGGAGACCTGGTTGATTTACAGTTAAAGCCCGCCAATGCAGGATAAACTTGAATTTTCTGGTTTTCCACCATACTAACAGGTTTCCAATTTTTGTCTGTCTGCAGAAAAGTTTTCGGTTTTCCTTGGTGTTTTGGTTTTGGTGCCTTAATTTTGGTTTCTTTTTAGTGTTTTTTTACTTTTTGACAGATTGTTATAATTACCCAATGTCTGTTCACCCAAATAATTATGGCGGGCAATAAATATTTTTGGCAATAAACCGATTGTCACTAGCTTGGCTTGAATGTTGAGGGTTTTTAAAACTGCATTCGCCTATTCGGTTGCAGTGTTTAATTTGGCCGCATAGTCAAATATCACGCAGCCGCCACATTGGCCAGGCACGCACTAATTTCAATTGTAAATCGCAACGGTTGCGCAATAACCAAAAGTGACACTGGAATTCCGTGTGCTACGATTGCTGATATATGACTGCGGAAAAGTGTATAAAAAACTGGAACGGAAATCAAGTTTACACCAATTAATTATTGAAAAATCATTTCAGGATGACAACTCATTAGCTCGACACTGAACTCTCATACATCACACACCATTATTGTATTGAATCGAGGAAGAAATTCCCTGAAATGGTAACTAACCAACTCTGTTTGATTTTGCCTCTGGGTCTATGATTTGTGGACCTCAATTGGTCAATCGATTGCCCGATGTCGCAGTTACCGATGATGAGCTTAATTTTGAACGCAATGGAGCCGTGACGCATTGCCATTGCAATTGAGACATCAGCAAATAATGTCAATAGATTATGTTGCCAGCTACTGCCATTGCAACTACTACTGCCACTGCAAATAGCTACTGGCTGCAATCCCTGTGTGTGCACAGAAGCGTTCTCAATGTCGCAAAGCATACTTTGTCAAATACAAATTGCCCAGTTTGGTGGGCAAACACTTCATCTCATACTGGAACTGCTGCCAACTGCCCGCAGTGCGGCCAAGATGTTAACACGCATGTTAACCACTTGCCAGCAGACACTATATGGCAGTATGGCTAATGAAGAAGACGTAGTAGTAACGTAGCAAATGCTTTGGCTCTGACACTGGCGGTTAAAATCGAACAGAGAAATTACAAAGCGGCCATGGCGAGCGATTTATGTAGCCAATCGACGCCCCTCCCCAGCTCCGAACTTCCTCCTTCTACGCCGACTTACTCATCCAGCCAGCCAGCCAGCCAGCCCGACTCTTGGTTATGTCAGCCAGCAAAACCAATACCCATGCGGCGATGACAAAAAGGGAAAGTAAGTCCAAAGCCTCGTCTTTGGCTTCGTTCACGGCCCTCAGCCGAAGAGAGGCAGGCGGTTGTTGGTTACTTTCTTGGCTCTTGGCCGTTTCTGTTTCTCTGGCTCGGCTTTTGGCCAATATCTACATGGCTTTGGCTCTTGGCCGCTTCCGCTACCTTCCATGGCCTGTCATGTTCAATCGCGGCAGTGGCATTTCTTTTTGGCAAGCAATTAACATTTTTGTAAAAATATTTAAAAACTAAAACTTCTTAAAATATTAATGATTTGTTTTAAATTTGCTTAACGACTTGAGCATTTAATTCGCCACGCTTTGTAACCATTAATTCGTGTTGTTTGATTGCTATAATTAAATTATTTTTAGCATGTTTGACTGCACACCCCAGAGGCTCAGGTGTTAACTATTTTTATACCTATAACCGACCTCCATAAAAATAGCGACATGAAAAGGCAATTGTCGGCTGGTGGACCATTCAGCGCAATACAAAAAATCGCATATAGCCTGTGATATCTACTATTTGGCATACAAATTGCCTTAAAAAACAAACTACCTGTGAGCGAATTCCGTGGCGAACAAGAGCAAATCATAACAATGCGACTCGACACAATAACTAAGTCATAAAACAATCAATAACATTGGCAGAGATGTTGCAATTCTGCTGGGTTGGCTTTCAATCACACTGACACCGATCAGAGCTAGATGCTGGACACCGACACTTGTAGGTGCTTAAATACTTTCAGAGCTTAATTGTCTTCATCTTCAATTGCAACTCGAGCTGAGGCCGCTCCATCAGTGGTCTTCAACACCGAAGTGGGATGGGATTATGTCGTGGGAGCGCCCTGTGGCGAAAATATCACCTTTGTTTGATTTGCTTTTGTTTTTGGCACTTGTCTTGTCAATTTGCAGATTTTAAACGCTGCAATTGCTTTGATCGCCGCGTATATTTCTCTCATTTTTTTCACAATTAAATGAATTACTCGAAAAGAGGAGCGTATTTAAATGAAAATTGGCAGAGACGCCGCAAGCCAAATAAAAGTAAATTACTTGCCGCATTGTTGATGATAATCATCATCTTTTCTTCATTTTAAAATCAATGTGAAAGTTGCCTCTTTTGTGGCATTGGATTTTGTGCGAAAGGAGGTTAAACTGGATACATTTCAGTGTCGGATTGAGCCGGGCTAATTGCGGTTTAACCTTATCTGCTATCTGCTTTTGAAGAAAAAATATTTAAATAATTTAAAGTGGTATTGCATATTCAAGCCTATGATCGATTTCCCTATGAATAGACTCGAGTTTTCTAGACTGTTCATTATTTTTCTGTAGTGTTACGAAAGAAACCACATTGTAAAGTCGAAATAAAGTAAGTCAGAGTCCTCAGTTCATCTTCAGCAACCAAGTGCAACGGAAACCTCGACTTCCTATATATTTATTTTATGTTTCTGTTTTTGGTTTTCGGTTTTCTGCACGCAACCATCCAAATAACTTCAAAATAGAAATACAATGTAAATTCGCAAAAGTATATTAACCAGAATTAAATATAGAGCATTGACCTAAGATATGAAAGGCACTTGGGATCCATTTATTGTGCATCCATGACTAAACGGCCAAAGGCGATAAGTTCATTCGTTTTAGAGACACTTAAAATTCGTTCGGCTTTCGTGGGCACCTGCTGGCGAAGACTCCCGGCCAGGTGAAGCGGATGGCCAGCCATAAAAACCATTTAAAAACGCTTAAAAGTCATTCAACGTATGCGGCCAACTCAAAATAGCCACAATTAAATGCATTTCTGCACGTTCCACAAAGAAATGGAATTGTGTTTTCTGTATTTCGTTGAGGAGGTGGATTTTTTTTGGCTTTTGCGAATATTATCAACTAATTTTAATTTGGCGCACATATTGAAAATGAAAGTTTCCACCACGACTCGAATTTAATTGGATTTCTTCCGGCTGCTGCTGCTGCTGGGCTGATGTAGTAATTGTGATGCGTTGATTTTGTAATAAGTCGCTTTCTACTCGCCAAAAGCTAAGCCCCTACCGATGTTTATGACATATATTAAATATGAAACTGGGTCATTACAAGCTCTTTTCAATGAACTGGTAGCAGCGATGGACCTGGCGGGGCGATGGTAACGATGGCCAAACAATTTGTTTGGTTACTTTACGATGCTGTTGTGATGATGCCCCCAACCGAACATCAATGAAAACCATCGGGGACCATCGTCGAACCAGTTTGGGTCCACACGTGTGGGACCCAAACGATGACCAATCAAAGACGATGATTTTACCGATCATGCCGTCGAAGATGCGGCTGTCGATCGTTTGCCAAGGGCGTTAAATGGTTGCTATGGTCATTGACTGTCCAGGATCCCATCCGCACAAGTGGGTCAACAGCGTCGCAAATGCGTAATTCGTTCACGCCCAGTCCGTCCGTCTCAATAGTCTTGGCCAAATATTTGATATTGTAAAAGTTACCACCACTCGCCGCTGTCAGTTGGCAACATCGAATTTACATGTTATCGGGGCTTGCATGTGCGGGCCTATTGACAGCTGGAGTAGCTGACTGGCTGACTGCCTGACTAGGTGACTAGTTGACAGGTTGCACCAGAAGCGAACAACACAACTGCATTTGAATTGCATAATTGCATAATGCCTAAAAATCAAGGAAAGAAATACAAACTTCCAGTAATAAGTGGAGTAAATGGTTTCTGAATTTCAAAGAACTATGGCCTATGCTTTTAGGCCTCTGTCTTCTGTAGCCACAGACTATTTAGGGGCGCGTGTTGCTCTCTTTTGTTGTATTGTCTTCTCGGCCACAACAAAAGGATTTGCCTGCACAATTGCGTTTTGGCCGCAAGGTCAAGAGTCGCGCGAGGGCGTCGACAATCGGCTTCAATTAGTTAACCATTTACGGTGGTTACTGTCGCACAGCTCCGGGCCACAGCCAGTGTCAGTGCAATTTTCCAGTTATTAATTTTCGGCTACTGCCGCAGACTCAGAAATATGTATATGAAATAACGGCCGAAGACCGAAAAGCCGCTGGCGGGCAAGGCAAAACTTGTTAGTCGTGGCAGGCCCGCAATTGAAAGTTGTTAAGTGACTTGTTTGCTCCTTCATTATTCACACTTTGTTATTAATTGCAGCATTTGAGGCCTTTTATCCGAAAATTGCTCTAACCGTTCTAATCGCCTCTAACCATAATTTTCTGATCTATTCTCCCCCGCAGCAAAATCCACAAAATTGCAGCCATAGCCGGAATTATTCCCAATCCTCCAAGACACTGCTGGCGCAACAGCACAGTTCGGTGCACACACAACAGCCAGCTGGCCCTGTCCGGGAAATCCAAATCGATCCATACATCATACTAGACGACGAGCTGAAATACTTCTACGATGATGTGAGAGATGTAAGTATTGAAGAGGTAGTTTAAAATTGGGGTTTTATTTAGGGAAAATATTTACTTAAATAACTCAAAACACTTGTTAAAATTCTATTTAAATACTAATTTACTAGCAATATTTCCAATGAACCTTAAATATTTGTTATTATTACTTAGGGTAGGTTCTTAGGTAATTGGGCTGTTCAGTTTAAAGATCGTTGATAAACAAACTTTCTCAAAACACAAAAATATTTACTAGAAGAGATTCATTCATCTAGACGTCATTGATTAGAGGGTTTTTTCCTCAATTCCAGTAAGGGGATTTTTTTTTCTCCATCTCCAGTCCAGAACACAAATATTTGCTAATTTAGGCTAAAGCTCGACTAATATTATATTTCTCCCCTTTTTCCAGCTGCTGCAATCGGGTACATCCCAGCCAGAATTGGACACCATTGCCAGCTATTACTTCGATGGCCAGGGCAAGGCACTGCGACCCATGGTTACCATGCTGATGGCCAAGGCGATAAACTATCACCTCAACAAAGAGTCACAGTAAGTATTGGCATACTTTTGGAGTATTGAAGTCTCAAGCGGTCCGGGAATCAGAGTGTAAATGATTAGCATGGCTTTGCGAAATGTACGGCCATATTTCGGCCACCAACCTAGCATAGATTTAGCTATAGTTTTTCCCAACGATTCATTTCATTATTTTTGCCAATCGCCTTGACAGCCAATTAGTACACAAACAACGACAGATCGCCCTCTTCTCGGAGATGGTACACTCGGCCAGCTTAGTGCACGACGATGTCATCGATCAGTCGGACTTCCGACGCGGCAAGCCCAGCGTGAACGCTCTATGGAATCATAAAAAGGTAAGGATCTGTAATTATGTACACATCGGTAGTATTTGCCAAAACCAAATCAAACAACTGCAGCTAACCGAGTCTGACTTTGACATCAATTTGTTGCGTATTTCGATTTGAAGTGTTTATTGACTTTGTCAACATCTGTGGCTCTTGCATCACTTCAAAGGCCTCAACAAAATCAGTTGCCTCTTCATTAAATTTAATAATAGACAAGTCGAACAATCCCACACACCTCGATCGCTGCAGTTTCCCCCTTTCGACATGTCTCTAAATTAAAATGCATAAATTAATCCAATCCCATGTTGTAAAAGCGTCAAAGAGCTGGAAGCGAATTATAATTTTCTTGTCTTTGATTGAATGACTGCTCATCTTAGTCATGTCGGTTAAGCGGTTTTTTTCCGATGCTCGTGTCGCCTTTGGCGGTTCATTGTTGCAACATTTAAAACTGTACTTTTATGTTGGCAGATGTTGTTTTTAAACCAATCTCTTCCCTTTACAGGTTACAATGGCTGGTGATTATATCTTATCGGTGGCCTCGATTATGATAGCCCGTCTGCGCAGCGATGATGTGACGATCGTGCTGAGTCAGGTAAGAAGAATTCGGTCAGGAACATAAGGATATGACTAATACTAAGATTAATGGATATTGAAGTTCTTGTGAAAGCTTGTATTCTGAGCCCTTTTGGAATTAAGAGTCATGATATACAAATATTATACCGCAAACCTTAAACAAGCATGGATTTTAGTTAGTTAGTTGAGAGTCCAAGTACCTCGCAGTTAATTGTCAAGGCAAACAAAAAATAATTGCCATTTGCTGAACAACTACCGAGAAACATTCTCCAAAAATCCCGGATCCCAAAACTCTGTCAACAACAATGATATCTATAGCTCTTCGTAGTTATTTGGGTTCGTAATCAGAACTGGGTGTTAAATTTCGCACAATTGTTGGACAAATAAAAGGGCCAGAATGCTGTTTTGTAAACGATTTCCTTAAAATTATGAAAGTTGCTCAGATCGGATGGGTCTTTTTTTGTGGGACTGGGAAACCAGTCCATGAAGTTAATGGCGGCACAAATCATTGGGCCTGCTACTTCCTGCGTCCCTGGGAGTTGCCCAAGGTTCGGCCTTCGCCAGAGTTCGTTCGCCGACAACTTTGAGCCGGCATTCACTTTTAATGTTACGATGCCACTATTTTTTATTGCTGTTTCAGTTCTGTCTGTGCATCCTTGGCCTTGCAACTGCAACTGGAGTTGCTGCCAGTTGTGTGCTTGGAAATTCCGCAGAAATATTTCATCGCTTGGCCATGCCTCACGTAGTTTCTATAAATTTAAAATTAGTCACACCTGTCAATTTCACTTTCGGATGCGCGAGAGTGAAACTAGATCTGTTGCCTTGGAAGCTGAGGTGGCACCGTATCTCTCTGCATATTTACACAATCGAGCGGACCGAGTTAATAGCCAAAGCAAACACAATAAACTTGCCTACGTTTTTTTGGTTACACATTCTCTGTCAGTCTCGATGGGTTCACCAGTTTCTCAATTCGCGAAACATGCGTAACACCTGAGGAGGATTGGCTCTAAGATGGATCCAAGGTGCGGCCTAGACACTTATCTCCCCCCTATTTGTTCGTATCATTTGCTTATGCTAACGCCGATCTAAGCCGCATCGGGCTTGTGGATCTGTCGCATAATGAGTCTCATTAGCATATCCGACATGTTGACCCCATCAGGTTGAAACTTTCTTTGCGATCATGAGGTCACGCATAAGCAGATAAGGCCAAACATTTAGAAACTAGTTCTAAGGCCCGTGCAGCTTAACTGGTTTCCATTCATCTTCTGTTTAAATAGCTGAAAATTAAGGAAATGACTTCAAAAGCTTAGCTTTCCATTTGCATAAATAAAAAATCCCCAGAAATTATGTTTAAACATTAAAATAAACTAATATTGACAAATTATCAACAATGGAGCATGTTTCGTTTGGAAAGTGTTTCCGAATTAAGTGCCTAACTATGTTATGCAAATAAAATCATGTTCTAATCCATTCCATCTAGAATCTATTGTATTTTTCCATATTGTTTTTGGCTTTTAAACTGCTTCTTTCATCTCCGACAATCTACAATCGCCAGTTTTTATCGCCGGTATTGTCGAATTTTTCTTATTTAATATGCCGCACACGTGTTTGAATAATTTCAACGGCTTCTAAGACGTTGATGGCATTAGAAAAAGGAGTAAAGCGGACGTCTGCCTTTCAATCAAGTGAATTTATGATTATCTGAATGTTTTGGGTTAAACCAGGCCGTTAAGCAGTGTTTTTGAAAGGCCCGCCCTGTAGGATATACATGTATTTAATGTTAAATAGAAGGTAAAGGTACTTTCCACATAATTGGTACACTTATAGATAGACTTGCTGTTTAAATCCACTTTCCTAAGGCAATATAGCTTGCAAAAATATTCATTTCTAGACACATTCCCCTTGTCGGAAGTTGTTTATTTCAAAAGAAAATACCCGTGTACGTGCCTTAAAAAGTTGGCTTCGAGGCTAACCATTTTTCTTTGTCAATCCGAAATGCAGTCGTACTTTGTGGGCAAAGAAAAAAATGTGGCCAAGCCTCTGGCTTTATCCGACTGCCAAAAAGAGACATTGTGTTAATTTTTGTGGCTCCAAATGCATTTGCTGGCCAAGTTGTTGGAGCTCAGGCACTCGCCTCCCCCTGTCTATTTTCAGTGCGGTATGCCAGTTGTGTTAATTAACATTGAGAGTCCAGAGGGGGCTTTTAGAATTTCGCCTCGCAGCTTGGCCAAAAACTATTGGCAGGTTATGGCCCGCCTCACCTTGAGCTCCTTGGCATCAGATCCCGCACACTGGCAGCCGATTGTTTGCCAATGATTTTGACAAGTGTCTGCGAGTTTCTTTGGCCGATGAATGAAAAGGCCTATCGAGGGGGAGAGTCTCTGGCGAAGGGCGTGCCAAACAATCTGGGGGCAAACAAACGGGCAATAGCCAAAATATTCGGGCAGCATCATGTATCCGACCTCTCATTGGGCTCTGAATGAAATAGTGTTTGCTAAATCAATTTGGCACAATTGTATTTGCCATTTGCATTTGAAGTTTCAGCCATGCGGAAGTTACGCACACCTAGACGGGCCGTATAAAATCGGCTTATATGGGATAAGGGGTGAGGCTGGCCAGCCAACATAGCCAGGTAAACAGAGTGTCATCCGTGAGTTGCGCAATCCATTTATTCACCTTCGAGTGGGAAATTCAGGCTCTCCAGAACAATCGATTCGAACGAGCGGCAATAACCATAATCCAAGCTTACAGTGACACTTTTATGACGCATTGTGTCTGCAATTGCTAATTGTCGTGCCTATATATGTATCTCTCTTGCAGATCTTGACCGATTTGGTCCAAGGCGAGTTCATGCAGCTCGGCTCAAGGGAAACGGAGAACGAGCGCTTCGCTCATTACCTGACCAAGACATACAGGAAGACCGCGTCGCTGATTGCCAACGCACTGAAGGCGGTAAGTACTCGTTATCGGCATGCAAGCCAGCTGTGCTGCAGTTACCAGTTAGCAGATGCCAGTTGGCTATTCGCATTACGCATTTAGCGAACTTAAGCGCTTAATTCGGTAATTAGTTTGCACGCATGCCCGCGCCATTGTTCCCAATCCCAGCTAAATTGGAAACCCCTCTTCTCTTCTTGCTTATAACCCCAACAGACCGCCGTGATTGCCCAGGCCGAAGACAACGTGGCCGAGCTGGCCTTCCAGTACGGACGCAACATTGGCCTGGCCTTTCAACTGGTCGACGACATGCTGGACTTTGTCTCATCCACCGAGCAGATGGGCAAGCCTACGGCGGCAGATCTGAAGCTAGGACTGGCCACAGCCCCGGTTCTTTTTGCTTGTGAAAAGGTAAGAATGGGCTTATATTTGATATCACTTTACAGGCTTAGGGAAAGCATCAGCCAAAGATAGCCATTTGCCAAGATTTTGCATCGAAAATGACTACCCAACGACGCGAAAACGTTTTGTATATTCATGGTGTCGCCGGTGATGATATCATGGATGGATGGATTGGTGGGTGGTGGTTATCTAGACAGATGCGTTTGTAACTCAATTGCCAGACAGCTTTTAGCGCCTGCGGGCAAAGCAATTTCCATTTGCAATGCAGTTCGCGAATGGCGCACGCGTGCAGTGCGTTCCAAGCAAGGCGGTAAATACCAGTCCCCGAAGCCGAGCTCCAGTGCCAACCACTGGACCCACCCACCCACTTAAATGCCTTGCATAATTGAGATGTTTTGTTCATTTTTCATTTTCCGCCTTTTTGCAGTACCCCGAGCTGAATCCGATGGTCATGCGGCGCTTCAGCGAGCCCGGCGATGTGGAGCGCGCCTTTGAGCTGGTACACAAATCACACGGCCTGGAGCAGACCCGATTCCTGGCCAAGAAACACTGCAACGAGGCGATACGGCTGGCCCAGGAGCTGACGGAATCGCCCTACCAAAAGGGCCTGCAGGTCGTTGCGGATTTAGTCATCAATCGCATGAAATAGACCATAGTCCATGCAAACACACACCCTAACATAAAATAACAATAATACACTTAATGCAATAATAATAATAATAATATTATGTAGGCCACACTTGATGTTTCGGTTAAGTTTTGTCAGCAAGCGAGCGTTTAACGTAAAATTGTAAACATTGTAAACGATTTATTATTTAGTTTTAAGGCATTTGTTGTTGACTCTGTAAATAATTGCATAAACAAAACCAATCAACATGCTAAAACGGCAAACGTACGCTGTACATAAATACGAGATGTTCAATGAATTTTAACCAAATTTTATATGAAATGTTTTGGGAAACTTTATTTATATATAGCAAAAAAAACAGACAACAATAAGTAAACAAAAGAAAATTGTACAAATACTTCTTGAGAGTGGCCTAAGCCAAAATGAATATGAAACTACCATATGAGGAGGAAAAATACTATAAAGAACAAAAGTTTATAGTCAATGCAACAAAGCAACCAGTGTGTAAACAATATTTATAAAAACAAAAATGAATAAAAACATATGGTTTATTTTATTTTAAATATTAGAGTATTTCATGCCTAAATGGTTCAATGTTAGTCGTTTGCACTCTTCAAATCCCTTCCGACAGCACAAATATGTAGTTTAAAGTTCTAAATCTGTAATTAGTTGGATTCAATAAATCGGTTTGAACCATTCGCGCATGAAATGCAATTATAATATGTTCAATAGGACGCCAACCAGTGCTGCCCAGTCTTAATTTTAAAACAAACCTAAAAAGCTAACAAAATCGGAAATCAAAAACAATTTGGCGTTGCCCAGAACACACCTTTTAAACTTAAGTTTTTTTATTTTTTATTTATAAAGACAACCTCAATTAAGTCAGTCAAAAAAATATTCGTTTTGTTTTACTTTGTTGGTGTATATTTTTGATAAAACAATAACAAACTAGAAGGCTCCTATACAGCCTGCTCTACACTGAGAAAAAGGGCAAAGTTCAACTATAAAGAAAAGACCGAAGTCATGACTAGACATCAATTCAAAAGGGTGCTGAAGACGACTTACCCACATGTTATGAAAAGCGAATGAAAAAGAGTAATGTTAATGATGTTGATATTGATAAATGTAATTACGATATTTGTACACTTAAAGGAATGAATAAAAATTCGATTTTGTAAAACAAAGTGTGAGTTCTGATTTAACGATTGAATGCTGCTGGCAAACCAGAAAAGTTTTGATTTTGGACACCACAGAGATAACGATAGCGAGCTATCAAAGAGGCATTACCCACATGCCCGAAGGCAACAGTGTAACTATGCAACATATTGGCCAAAAAGTCAAACCAAAAACAACAAGGACGACCCAGTGAAATAGTTTTGGACATGGCCAAAGTGCTATATGTTGCGATGGGCATGGCTGATATCGAAATTGGGGCAAACAAATAAATTTGGCAGTCTGTGTGATGGTAATAGTGGCTGCCACATGGGGCGTATGAGTAATGTTTAGCTCGTGAGAGAATTTCACTTTAAAACATCAACAAGTTCCGGATTAAATGGCACGCAATCCTAAACAAGATTCAACTTAACTCAAGTGGCTACCACTCCTGTGGCCATCACTGAATTGATGACTCCTCAAGTTTCTGTGTTATTAGAACAAAGAGGCAGCGTTAGCGGCACGAATCGGGTTAAGTTAAGGCAGCCATGGCACAATTTTCCGCGCAATATAAAGTAAATATATTTTATGTCCAAGCCTCGTTAGCCAGGCAAACAAGCGCAAGGAAGCCGCCGCAGGCTGGCAAACAGCCGAGCAGGGCCAAGTTGAAGCGTGCCTAACTGGCAAAATATTTAAATGGCCAAAATGAAATTAGCAGCGATTACGCAGCCGGAATGCCATCCCGGGCCTGCCTTACGCCCAATAGACACACAGACTGGCTTGACTTGCCAAACACAAGAACAACTTCAAGGACAGACGCCCGACGCTCACGTGCTAGGTCCGGGCCCAAGCCCCAACCCAAAGGCGCCTTAACCTAGGCTATAAATAGTCAGCCTACAGCTCGCTGCCTAGACAACCAAAGTGGTTTGGCCCAAAAGTCGGCCCATCTTCGGTGGCCCAGCAGTGCCTGGCACGGATCAGTGCCGCCAAATCGGCGGTTAAACGGTTTGGGGCGAGCACGAGACTGTTTCAGTAACGCGGCGTTTGCTGAACGCAGCGCTACTTCCGTTCTCCCATCTACCAGCAGCCGAAAACAACCAAAGGATACTTCCATCCGGCGAACAAACAACAGAAGAACACAATGACGACCAGCGATGAGATGGGCATGGGAGGCAACTTTTGCCATGACCATATCCAACATCCGCTGATGTGGTGCGACGAGAAGAAGCGTCTCGTGGAGCGAAAGAATGCCGAAGAAAGTCTTCGGATGTGGCGTCGACGCAAGGCAGAGGAATGTGCTCGCAAGGAGAAGGATAAACAGGAGGTTGGTGGCAGTGTCTAATAATTTTTATAATTATCAAAAAACAATTTGCTTACGGCAACAGTGCGTATACGTGATATTCAAGTCTCGTTGGTTTGTGATAGAAAGATAAAATATTTAAGGTGCAACCAACTTCCAAAAGATATTTAGAATTACGTATTTTTTATAGACTTTTATATACATTCATTAAATATAAGAGTTTCCAAAAGTACGTATATTTTGTTCGATAGTACAACAGTGCGTATGAGTTATATTTTCCGTATTTGTTTCACAAGATTTGTGAGTTAGTCGGAAAGTTTTGCTTAAAAACTAAAATAACATCAATATTCTTAAAAATTAACCTTAGATGAGAAACCTTTCCCAAACAAAAACCACATAGATAAACTTCTAGAACGAACCTATGGCAATCAAAAACTGTCTCAAACCTTCACCCACGCGATTGCTGAAACTTTTCCTCAGTTCAAAGACCTTTCCCAAGCAACATGTTCTGTTCCCTTGGATTTGGTTCAACAAACCCTTTGACAATTCAGACTCTTGTAATCAAATCACCTCTCTAGGCAGCTAAAAAAAAGGTGCCCAACAAAGAGCAAGTTAAGCACTCCAACGAGTCCTTGCGTGACTGAAAATCCTGGCTGATTATTTGCCTACATCACAGCCAACCGAAATGTGGGTGAAAAAAATGAGTGAAATGCAAATCGCTGGCTGGCTGCAACTATAACAACAACCTACAAACAAAGTTCCCAGGCCCGAGGTTCGGGGTGCGGACTCCAAGGAATTTGCCAATTTCCGTAAACAAACAGCGGCGTACTCCGCGAGTGACACGGTGAGAAGGGTTTAAGGAGCCCGGGCTTGTGGCAGTAGGTTGCGTTGTGTCTGGGGCCCATAAATAGGCTGCCACGAAATCGATAAGGCATAACTCGGTTTTGTAATCATGCTGCGGCAGTGTCTGACTGGCAGAGCACGGTCTATAAAGTCGACAAGATAGTCTCTGGAATTTATTACATTCAATTCGGGTTAAGGCAGTTAGTTATGGAGTATATGGCTTCACCCTTTAAGGATTTGGGGAATTCGAAATTCTTATACTTATTTTATTAAAAATATTTCAAAATTTACAATTTATTTATACTTTTTGATTGGCAAAACCATTTGTTTTACTTTTTGATACTTTTCACTTTTAGTATTACGACCTGTTTGTTCAGCATTGTCCTTGGGGTCGACCCGGGGGTGGAGCACCCAACGTAGAGGTGCGCCGCAAGGACATCACAGCCGTTGGCCTTCACTCCACACCCACTGTGGTGAGAAATCTTTGAGAAACCCGAAATGAAAGAAAATTTTAATAATATTTGGCAACGTTTAGACCACCGCCCACCGGATGAACTCCCTGCAGCCATGCCGCTACAACGACTTCTTCTCGATGAAGAACAAATGCCACAACAATCCACTTGCAGCGTATCACCACCACCACCACCATGCCCCGCCTCCCCCGCCGGGCGGACGCCTGCCACATGCCCACTCCGTGCATCACCTGCAGGAGAGCGGACCTAGGAGCAGCACAGTGACGATTTGCGAGCGGGAGATCCCCCACAAGCCCGGAGCCGGAGTGGGCGTGGGCCTGGCCAAGAACGCCAACGGTGAGAGCCTCCACATCCAGCTGAAAGAGCACCCCTCAATGTCGTTTCGCAATAAAGGCCACGTGGACATCGAGCTGCGCTACAAGCCCTCGCCCCCCTGCAAGGGCAAGCCGCTTCTGGACAAGATCGTGGTCAGCGAGAGCGAGCAGAGGAGCTGTCCGCTCCAAGAAAAGCTGGCCACACAGAAAAAGCGGCTACAGGCCAAGCTGGAAAAGCCGGTGAGCGGCACTTATTACGCCTCCAAGGGCGTGACCTTACTAATCAATCCATGTTATCCTTTTTTGCGTTCCAGCCCTGCAAGGAACCCTGGGGAAAGGCGGGTCCTGGAGGCAAACCTTGGCGCAGTCCCAAGGAAGTGGGTCATACGTTTATGAAATCGCTGGTGGGTAGAATCGCACATAATTATCTTAGTGCTTTAGTTAATTATTATTTTAATATCCCTAGGGATGGACAAATAAGGAAATGCTTAAGGAGCTGGATCAAGACAATCCCGTAACTCCGGCGGAGAAAAACACCTTCCGTAAGTCTCGAGCCTGCAAAGCTTCAAAGCCCCAGAGGTGCTGCGATATGTGCACCTGCAACTGCCCCGCCATGAATGGCAGCCCGGGAAAAGGACCCCCACCTCCGATACCGCCCGGGAAGAAGTGCCTTCCTCCGCCCGCCCCACCCAAGATTCTGCACCACCTGAAGCCGCAGGACTGCAAGCCTATTAAGATCTGTCCGCGAATGGGACGCGGACACTGTCCGGGCAGCACCACTACGGCCACGCCGGATGTCAGTACCCCCGGAAACGGTGGCGGGCCGGGTGGCGAGGGCGGCGGCGTGGAGCTGGTGCCGCTGCTGGCTCGGAGGCGCGGCATGCACCGACCCATCAGCCTCTCCAGCACGGATGTGACCAAGAGGACGCCCTCGCACGATAGGTACGCATCCAAGCACAAGCAAAAGAACTGCCAGCAGGCCAAAATCAAGTGCATCAACAGCATCATCAAGAACATCAGCCACATGAAGCGGCTGCCCAAGAATCTGAACTGCAAGCTGCAGTGTTGCAGTTGCGATTGCCCCACGGCCATCTCCACGGGCTGCTGCCTCAAGCGGCTCACTCTGCACATTCGCCAGGCTTAGACTCTCAAACCATTCAACCCCTACCCCCATTTATTTGCAATTCCCTATGTCCCAGTCGCCTCCAATCCAGTCCGTTTCTCATTTGCTTGCTCTGCGCCATAAGAAAAGTTAAGAAAACCAAACCAATCCGCTTTCCATTCTCCCCAGTCCCATGATTTGTGTCTATCATTTTGCCTTGTTAATTGTTTCTCTACCCCCACTTCTTCTCGGCTCATTCAGCAAGAAAATATCCATTGTAATACAAGTGAAAGTATAGCAACCAAAAGAGCAAACCAAACCAATATCAATACCAATCTCACCAAAAAACCAAAAAACTGAAACTAAAAAAAAACCAAAATCATAATACCAATCTTCTATGTATCCCCGTGCAAAACGAACTGAACTGAACCGAAAAAAAATTGCTATCAATTTCGACAAAAAAAAAAACCGTCAAAACCCAATCGAAAATCGAAAAAATGCATTAATGAAAAAATAACAAACTTTGCTGGCCACCAACCAACAATCATTACCATCAACGACATCCACGAACAGGATCCAAACGGCCGCCGACATGCGATATCTGCACGATTTGAATGTCCAAATGTCCCAGAAGCGCCGCTCCGTTTCCGTCTCCAAGCAACTGGACAGGGATTTGTGCAACCAGCACTTCGATACCTTCGAAACATTCTGGGGACGACCAGGACACGGAGCACGCGGCGATAAGATCAACAAATTAAAACTGGACAATCTTCTCTACGGTGCCAGCGAGTCCTCCTAAATGCCTCCCAAAAGGATATGCACCATGTGGATTCGTGGACACACATCGCTGCTTCCGGCACTACTCGGCTCGTAGTTTGTGTGCTGCACATCATCTGCTCAGAAATCAATCGATGCCAAGGTCCTGCATCCTGTATCCTGCACAGTAAACCAATCAGTTTAGCTGAATAGAAAACTTTACCATTTCTATACTTCAAACCTAAAAAATTTTGCCAACTTGCCGCGTCTAGTAAGTTGACCAAAGTTTTAAATAAGTCAGCTGGGTTTCAAAGGATAATAAAAGTTGGAAAATTAAAAAACGGTTCAAGGTAAGGAACTAAATCTAGTTAGCTTTATAAATATTTAATACATAAGATAACTAATAGATGGAACTTAAAAAGATGATTCTTTAAAAGTCTAAATTCGTACCATTTTAAAATTTTTTGTTATTTAAATTAAGTTAAAGAATGTTCAATGATATTAAGGATTTATTTCCCTATATAACCATTACATGTAGATAAAAATAATGAAACTAAAAAAGTTGTAAATACGAAAATATTGACTGTGCAATAAAAATACGTATTCCTCCATCCACATCTTCATCTTATCGTAAAAAAAGTGTTTTAAATATTTTAAATTATTCATTAATAACTATATAAACTTAATATATAAATGTTTTTGTAAATAAAGGCATGGAAATAAAAATAATGACCCATCAGTTTGTTTACATGAATCTTACATCGGTTCTACTTGCCACAGTGGCTTTCAAACTGACTAAGCAATGCACAGTGACTCCACAACAGCTGCTTATGAAAATCGCTGAAAACCCGCAAATGCTTTAAACTCCACCACCATTTGACTAAGAATCCATTTTTTTTTTGTTAAAAAAAATTTGACAGACACTGCTGATGTCGAGTCACGTTCGCGTCATTTATTATTTTAGTTTTATGCTTTCCCAGGGGATATATAACAACACATGATATCTGCACCAAGACAGAGGATGGGTACATGAGTAAATATGAGCCTAGTTACGTGGCTGACAGTCGAGCCAGAGCTTTCAGCTTAAAGTATGTTAAAAATGGTACTCCATCTCCGCCCCATCACAAGCCACCACATTAAATAAGTTTATTGTTCTCCTTTCATCTGGATTAGTTTTAATTGGCGAAAACAGTTGTAATAACATCATAAAACACGGTAGCCGACTAATTTGATTGCATTTCGCAATTAAACTTCGCCAGAAATGGGAGCACAACCCCATTTCAAGGTTGGCCAAATTCGTACTTTCGCCTTCGTCTAATTAAACGAAATTGTTTCTCTAACTTTTCTACCAGCCGCCAAATAAATAGATTATGTTTTAATTAAAAAATGAGGGAAATTCACGACGTCACTTGCCGCAAAAGTTAAAGTGCTTCTTCCCTGGTTTTTCCTCCTTGCTTCCTGCGGTGGAGTGAAGATATTTTGGCATCCATTCGCACATTCTCACTAATTACAGAAACACGCGTTGGGGGTTTACTTTTCCGTTTCTTCCCTTCTAGGGCTAATGATGACGACTTTCGACCTCAACGAGTTGGAAAATAGACGTGAATCAAGCTTGCCAAGCAAAAACGGCAGTAAAATCAAGAAAATATTTGCGTATACCGTGGAAAAACAAACCCGGACTCTTAGCCCTGGGCCTCTGTGGCCATCTTTCAGGCCATGTGTGTGTTTGACGCTCTTCACGCACGAAAAAAATTCAACAGCCGTAAAAAACGTAAAAATCGGCGCGTAAGGAATAAGCCGCGTATGCTTTGATGTTGGCTCCATGCCCCAAAAAATGTCAGAAACGGATTGCAGCATACGGATTTTGCTAGAGCATAAAGTCTTTAAAATTCTTTCAATCCCTAAAGTAGTTTTCATTCAGCAAAGATAACATTTTCTATAAAAAATAAATCCTTTTGATTTCAAGAATCATACAACTAGTTGGCTATGAAATCAATTAGTAATTATAGAATTAGTGCCGGCTTAACTAATTAAATCAATACTGTTCCACAGCGATTGTGTTTAGCAACCGAAGCTGATCAGCAGGCTTCTGGCAAAGACTCCTATATAATTAGAACCAATTTGAACGGGGAAATGGTTTTCTTCCAATTAGCAGTAGGTACCACATAATACTGATGCAGGAAATCTCAAGTACAGTGGCAAGGATTGGCAACTGTTGGCCATGTGAGACAGTCCAGAAAATCTTAATGAAAGATATTTAATCCCTGAAATAACCCACCTGAAAATTATGTACCAATCAAGCCCCAATTAGGCTTTGATTTAATGTTTGCTTAACATTTAAGGCATTGACTGGAATTGATGCGAAAAAGCCCTTAACTTGTTGGTTGGCCAGCAAATCATTGACGCTTGAAAACACATGGAACAATATTAAGTAAAGGTCCCAATCGACAAAAATGTATACTAGGAGGATAAGAGTATCCTTTCAAAGGATTTGAGTCCATTATTTCTCCTTTGACTTAAAGTTTAAGTCTTCAACAGTGACATTTGGTTGACTCGGTGATCCAACAATGTCAGTGTCCGATTCAAATATTTGACAAACGTTTTTTCAACTTTTTCTAGGGGATAATGGCGAAGAATTAACTATGCAAGCAACGATGAGTTTACCAAGACCTTTAGGCTAACAGGGGAAAAATTTAATTTCTTTTCCAACATTGAACATAACATGCAAATTGAATTTGCGGATAACAAAACGTTAAACTAATACAGTTTATTTGTATTTAGTTTGCAATGCCTTCCGGCGTCAGTTGTTTGGTGCTTGATACCGATAACGTTTGTCTTCCATTAGCAAAATAAACAACAAAATATTCTAAAAAACACCACAAGCCACAACTTTTCGTTTGCTTGGGTGAGCAGTATAATAAGCTTTTCAATAAACTGTAGCATACTTTTTGGAATTTGCATTTGTCACATGGAAAACAAGGACTCGACGCGATTTATGCAAAAAAACGAATACATGCCAGCGACACGGCTACAACAAAGATGATAAATTCAAATCGAAAATCGAATGTTATCCGCTTTTCAGCTTCAAGTTGTTTATGCCGCCACCAACTTCAAGCCACCGCCTCTCACATATTGCCTTGAAATATACAAGAATATGCTGATTTGTAGAGATGTTTGCATTTTAACGTAATTTCCATTTTTTGTTGTTCTGTTTGCTCAGGAAAACACACAGCCATTGCCCCATTGGCAGTCTAACAATGCCAAACATTTTGCATTGTTTATTGAATTAGTATCGATGACGTGTCTGAATTGGCATACAAAGCAGCACCCACGCACACAAATGCTCTATTCGTGTTGCACGTTAGTTAGGGGGCATCCTGGATGTGGGTGTCGGGATGGATGACCAGTGATAAGTGAGTGATAAATGGGGCATGATTCATATATTTATATTGGCACAAAACTTTAGTCATTGCTGGGTGCCTGAAATTGATATTTAATAAGTTTAAACTAAAAACAAATTTAGTCTGTGGATTATTGTAGATTTAAGTATCTTTAAATAAGCATCGGTATATTTAAGCAGCTTACGAATTTTAAATTGTTTTGCTACTTTTCTGACTTTAGCAAGGCAATTAACTAATTCTCGACCACTTGTATATACATTACGGGTAACTGGACCTTTGCCACCCTACCACTAAAGCCTCAGACACCCATCAACAGGCTTGTGGTATTATTTAATTATTTATGTGCAATACATACTTCACAGCTTGTGGCAAACACTCGGCAAGTGGTGCTTGGGTTTTTGTAAACCTTTTTCTTTTTGTGGCAAAACTCTATGAAAAGCCAGACACAAATTACTTCTTACATATGAGAGTACATGTGATACTGTAAGCGTTGCTATGCAATTATAGTTGGCTTTATGGGCAACCCAGATGCAACTTGACTCTCACAATACTTACACAAAACTCTTAAAAAAGCATATACAAGACATAAATTTATTTTTGGTAGTTTGCATTTTATTTTTATTCGTCCATCGCTCTGCTGGATGTGTCGTGTTACATGTGTTTACATGTCCTTAAACCTGCACGCTTACAAAATAATGCAGCTCCTGCTGTGTTTACGTCAATGGCAGCAGCCACAGCACCTTGTTCTTGCCATGTCCTTCGCCCGGCCGATTGCCACGACTTTGACAGACCGACCGGGCCAACCAACCCTGCTACCAGAGAACACCCTCACAGCCCTGGCCGAGTCTGAAATTGAGGGTCTCAAGGCTTTGGCGCTTGCATGCTCTTAAATTAGAAACTAAACCAGAGGAAAAAAACTTGGTCTTAGTGACTAGAACGTTGTTATTAAATTCCTTTATATGATTTTGTATTATTAAATATTATTTAATTTAAATATAAAATAAAACCTTTATGGATGTATTATCAACCTTCGGCAAGGGTATAAAAAGCTGTAAGTAGACACCTAAAAAACACCCCCCCCTCTGCTTAAATATCTGAGATATGTATTTTCTTGGGTTAGTGCAGATGGGCAACTTCTTTGTTAGTTTCATGCGCATTTTTATATGAAACCACACGCCCCGCCACAACTGTCGCTGGCATTTGCTTACCTTTCCCGGTGGGTGGGCACAGTCTTTTTCTTTTGAAACAGAACCTGACTGGCAGAGATTCAGGTAACTGAGCCGGTGAGATGATTTTAATAATTAAAGGCACTTTGCTTATCCACACCCGCATTCATTGCCAAATACTTTGACTTTGACGGCCAGTCTTTGACTTCACCTTCTGGCCAGAACATTAATTAGTTCATGAAAATAAACTAGAAATGGAAACAACCCGAGGCTATGGAAAAACGGTTTGCTCTTAATTTGTTATGGGAATGTTAATTTGCACCAAAAACTTTCCATTGGAGTCAATTTGATTAACAATAGAAAGTTTTCTGAGCAGCAGACTGCCAAGTCCAAGTTAACTTGGCCAATTGTTTGAACTACTAACCGCAGCATCAGGGCAGAAACAATTTTCTGGAATTTTTGCAAGAAGTTTGTACTTTTGTGAGAAATTAATTAAAGTCAAATTATGGAGACTAAAGGGCAAACACGCCGACGTAAATGATGCTGGGTTAAGTTTATTCTGGCCCTTAAATTATCTACTATAGCTTCTCCAAAATGGAAAACAAATCTTGAAAATGTAAATCCATAAATAAGTATTCTGTAACAATCCTTAAGGATTTCAATTTGCCTCCAAAGTATCAGACATTTTTCACTGACAGTACAGAAATTGACTCGCAGATCTTCCAACACGACTGGTGTGGCATGTGATGCATGATTATGGATGCTGTATTTGCATACGTCAGTGGCTGTATTAAAGCACCAAGCACATCTGGTTGCAACATTACGCCTCACGTGCACAGGGGATTCCTTTAAGCTTGCCCCGAGCGACAAA